ACTGATTGCACTTATAAGGGTTTGGCCCAGGTTCTTACTGCTGGAATTAGCAACCCCAACTCCAGCTCGATGGGAAGAAGGGATGTCCAGGTAAGTGCAACACACTAAGGTCTAGCCAGAGCATATTGCACACATTGGAGTGTGCGCTTGATCTCTCTGCTACTGATCTCCTGGGACAGCAGCACCTTGAGTCAGGTGCAAGTGAAAGGCAGCGTGACGGTGTTGAGGTGAGCTTTACATCTTGTGCAAGGTGAGAGAAGCACAGTGTCAGCAGCTAATAAGTTTATAACAGGGTTTCTTCTTCAAGCCAAATTCAGCCCAGATTTATAACTCCCCCATACCACTCTGAACTTTCTGACACTCCTCCTGAAACATTTCATTATTGCTCAATTACTGTCATGTTCTTTTAAGGACCTGGAAGGGGGAGAAGGTCTCCATTTGGCAACCAGATGCCATTTCCATAGATACTCACAAAACTGTGCTACACAATAAACAATCCATTTACCCTTCAGAAACAGGCTTTGAGGATATGGTAAGTCAAAAAAAAGTGAAAACTGTGACACATTCTATGTGTAATGGAAGCTAACCAGAAACTAAGATACTGAAATTGGTGGCGGGGCATCTCTGGCTTGTAACAGGGCCAGACTCTCTCTGACCTGGAGGTAACAAAAGCAGAAATTCCCCACCGCCTCAGCAGAGCAATAATGCCGGTCACACTGAAAGACACAGAACGTTCAGGGCTGTCACCTACCACCAGGAGATGTGCCCAAAAGGGACCTCTAGCAACAATTCTCAGCAGCTTGTTCCAGGCACCCGTGGCGGGCTGGCCCCAGAGTGGGACTGAGGCACACACCAGAGGGTTAATGGTGAGAGCATGGACTGGAGCCCACTCTCCAGGACACTCCATGACTTACCATCAACACACAAGCAAGCACTCAGCACCCACTGCAAGCTGAGCTCTGGAAATTCAGAAACCAAGCTTTTTCCAGATCTAAAAGGCAGTCTGACCCCTTGTTCATAAGGTCTGCATACACTGGACTTCAGGCATTACAGCCCGCTCCAGCACTGGATGTCTTAAATTCAGCATCCTTAACCAGAAGACACAGGGTTCACAGATCCTACCGGGCTTAAGCCCCACCCTTGAGCTAGGTTTGTGTTTCAGGATTTGTGAATCAACTGTCGGCTCTCATGCATTCACTGGACAGACACTTCCACAGCACATTATCATCCAAAACGTTCTTTCTGCTTTGATACTTGTAACAAGTCTCTGTTTGTACATATGGAAACCACATTATATATTCCAGATGGAAATTCATACTCTATTTCAGAGAAGGAAACGAGAGCTATTTCATACTAGATGCATAATTTGTTGTGTGAATATGAAATACGTGACTGCCTCACATGTTATGTTGTGAGCTAATCATAAAAAAATATAATGAAAAAGGTCCCATCTGTCTCTAAATCCTATAATCCAACTGTTCTCAGCTAACTCCAGCTCTGCCAGTACCTGGTATACATACAGCAAGGAGAGTTTTCTGTGCCAGGGAAATACTGAAAACCAGAAGAGCATGCGTAAAGCTGCAGCTAAAGTTTCATCCGAGGCAGTGAGAACACGTCTTGGAGAGAATAGAGACCTTATGACACCTCTTCAGCTGACTGAACTCATTCCCCAACTCTTCAGATTGTTCTTGACCTGCCTCTTTATCTGGGCTACCCTATAATTATCTTCTTAACATAATTTCCCCACATTTCCCTGAAGAGCCTTAATGGGATCACTGGGAAAGATCCAGCTGCACATTAGAAAGCGTGGGGGCAAAGTGCTGTCACCAAAAGACAATGGGAATATTGCCACTCACATCAGCAAGGCTGCGATTTCAAAATGGAGCTTGCTGGCTGCAGAAGCAGCTCTGCCATGCGGAGTCAGCAGATCTGTGGCAAACAGCAGTAGGTGGGTCTGGTGTGATCTGCCTCTTCTGTTGTGGTCTCATTTATCTGCAACCAAATTCCTGAGCCTGACCTTACAGTTCTACTGCAGCATGACCAAAGGAGCTCCTCCCCAGGCACCTAAGGGACCGTTTATGGAGAACTACTCCATAGGAAATAGCACTATTTGTCTGTTCCTTTGTACTTAGCTTTCAGTGTTTTACTGCAACTCCTTCAGCTTGCTCACCTCAAAAAATAAAACGGATATGAAACCACAGCAGGAGGTGTTACCAAGTTCCCAGGATTGTTAAGACATATTCATCTAAAGGCGCCAAAAAGAAGCCCCAGTTCTCAGCTGGCAGTTCACTGAAATTTTTTGTTTTCAGTCTTCCATATTAACAGTTTCAGTTTGTTAGGTGGTTTTGGGTCTGATTTGCACCTAAGATGGGCAAAGGACATAGATGGGATGGCTACAGGCTCTCCTATACCTAAATGTCTATCACGTGGTTGCCTGAAGTTAGGGGGTGCCAGACCTTTTGACAAACACAGTGGCTTCCACTCCTCTCCATTAACCACCACCCACTCCCTGTGGGGACCACTGTTACCCCTCTGTCACCTTCTGCACCATCTGCAATGCCATGCTACAGCCACAGCAGCATGGCTATGCTCAACCACTCATGGAGGATTTGCATCCCTCTTGGTGCTGGATGGGGATGGGGCAAGGTGAAGGAGATCTGTCACTTAAGAAGGATGATGGCACTCCACAGCTGCATCATTGGATCTCCCTGCCCAGGACCCATGGATTTCAATGTCAGAAGGTGCAGCTACTTTACACGGCTCTTTTTTAACCTCAGAGAAACTATTTTCAAACAAGAGCCCTTTTATTGCTATGCCAGTTTCAAGCCATGCTGAAGTTCTTAAACATCTGGGCCTGGGTCGTTCCCTTTTAAATTTAACCGGTCCATCAGCAATTGCATTCCAGTAGTATGAGTTGTATCTGTCTCTCTCCAGGCCTGCACTCCATTTCCCCTTCAAAAGAGGCCTTATTTACCATCACCCCCTTACGTCTCTTTTCCTATCTTTCACGTGAAGTCTGGCAGAAATGGTGTGGCAGAGGCTCTCTCCCCTGAGGGCTCCTCCTCAGACATAGGAAACACACGGACAGCATTAGCAGGGAATTTGTTAAATATGGCTCTTAGGGGAACATGAGAAGCAGATCTTGTTATTTGGATGGGAAAAAAAAAAAAAAAAAAAAGGAAAAAAAAACTATATCATTACTACCAAGCAATCCCCTGCAACCCTTATCAAATGAACCTGAAAGGAAAATCCCCTCTTGACCCCAGGTTTGGAGACTGAGTGCAGAAGTTGGGCACTGAAAAGAACACAATGCCACCAGAAGGTCTGAAGTGAGCTGCTTGCCCCCTGCCACACTGGAGGCTCCAGTGCTACAGAGACCTGAAAGAGCTCCCCCAACCCACCAGAAACCAAGTTATGCATCAAAGGAGAAAGCCATTCCTTCATGATCTCAAAGGTAAACAGAAGCAGCCAGAGAACACCAAATTTATATAAATATGATACAAAGAGTGATCTGATCTCTTTTCAAACCCATCGGAGATACCAACAGATTAAGTACGCTTTTCAAGCCCAAGGAATTCTGCTGCTTTGTCATACAATCCCTTACATAAATTTATCAGACTTCATCTTAAAACACTCACTCAAACCGATCCAAGGGTACCTCAGCCCTTTTAATCACAACAATTCGCTAGAATTCTGACTGACAGGGATATCTACAATATTTCTTTCTAATGCGTATCCCTCCAAACTGTAGGTCCAGATTGTCCCCACCAAACAGCAGGCACTTCCCTCAGCTCGCTCTTTACCCAGAGAGAGACAAAAGGCAGCCACCAAATCAGTGAGACTACTAAAATCCAGATCACCCTCTGGTCATTCCTCTCCCTCTCCACTGTTGAGGGCGATGACCCTCTACCTTAGATGCCACAGCGAAGTCCCCAACTTTAATGGGATGAAAGTCTTTGCCATCCTACAAGTTTAACCCATTTACAGGACTACACAAAAGGAGTTCCCTGGATTAAGATAATTTTGCTGGTTTGAATCCATTTAACTAAGCAGTGCAGATCACTGTAACCTCACCTCTTCTCCTTGGGGATTTACCACACCACCACCTTTGTCCAACTGTACGCACAGCACTTATACTGTCCCTTTAGAGGGTTCCATATTGACAGTTACTTTAAGGCTTGACTCAAAGCCTACTTCAGCCAATTAAAGACTTAGAAGTACACTTCAACAGGTTTTGGATTCGATCCTTTAGGAACTTTTTAAGTTACAAACCATGTAAATGTTTTAATCAAGAGGTCATGCACTAATGAATTAAAAATTACTTCATAAGTGTTTTGGCCAACTAGACCACATGGACAGATCCTGTTTCTGACAGGATCTGTTTTCCATCATACCAGTGACTGACACCCATGAATTCTGCCATCTCTGTTGAGAGAAAGGCAAATTAGCAATTATGTTAATTTACACATCTCATCTCCCAGAGATCTCTCCAAGCCTATTGCCTCATGCACCCTGTGCCTGCTTGCCTGGAAACCTCCCCAGGCTGGGATGTGTCTGCTTACTGCTGACAGCAAAAATGGTGTAAGAAAATAACCAGAATAACAGATAACATGGAAAGGAAGGGGAAGGGGTTGATGGTGGATGGGCAGGACTGGCCTAATGTGTCACACACCTTTGGAAAACTGGTCAACTCTGGTCTTCAGTTTTAGTTCCGTTTTTGAGATCCGCAAGAGGACGGCTGCCGCCTTCTATGTGTTTTCCAAGTCCCCCCCCCAGTTGCACCAGTGCTCAGCTAGAGCTGTTAGATACCAACAGAGTGAAAACAGCAACAGGAGCGTTTGCTCAGGTGTGCTTTACTCCTGACTCTGTCACCTTTCCTCTTGACTGGTTGTAAATCCCTCCTGGACCCCTTTTAGGATGAGAGACAGGGAAAGGAAATAATCCCTTGGGTTAAAACAAAGCATCTCATTCAAGAGCAGTTGTTTACCTTGGGAGGCAAATGCTGACTTTTACAAACAGCAGACAACGTCCTGGGGATTTTGGGTGACTGCTGCAATGTTTTCTAGCTGGATAGTAAACAGCCAGGTAACCACTGACACTGTCTTGACGCAGGGTTTGAGGTTCCTTTCCTTCCCTCTGGGGATCATAAGCCATGATCCTACTAGAGAAACAAATTATTTATCATAGTCGAGGTGCCTTGTTAAGATTTATTACAAACCCTTGTGATAGCCCAGGAAAACTGCTTCCAGGAGTCATCCAATATACCAGAATTAACAAGACAGCCCCTCCGATGGAACTATGCTATCCAAATCCCTTTACACTGACCTGCAGCCCAGAAACGCTACGACAGCCACAGCAGCTGCCCGACATTAACAGATATCTGCAACTTTTAACAAGAATCAGGCACAGAGCTGTTCCAAGCCCCAGCTATAAAACTGATGAACTGAGAGGAGTATCACAAAGAGGAAAAAACACAGCATCATACCATAGCTATTTGATTGTGATTTATGTCCCATTTCACCTTGCCTTATCATAGCTAAGCCTTTCAGGAGAAAAACACTACACACACTGTATAGAAATGGCTTCTGATCCTGGGTGTGCAGCTCTGCTGCCTCATACAACTGCAACAGGGACAGTAGACAGTCCTGCCACACAAACCCAGTGCTTGCTCCCTCCAAGAAAGTGTGTGTGCAGCTGTTGGATGCACTGATGGCACCTGCACAGCCACACAGCACTGCCCACACTCCTGAGGTTTCGCTGCAGCCTTGCAAAGGGTACAGTGTAAACCACGGCATCAATTCCTGTGACAGCATCGCTGCCTTGGCTGCACTAAGGTCTTCATCAGCAGTCATAAGCAGGCTTCAACGCACAGACAGCTGGGAGAGAGAGGTGATACCTGGCACAGAGCTGACAACCAGATCATTTTGCCAGTTTTCCAAACCAGATTTTTCACTGCTTTGTTTCAAAGCGACTTTTTTGTTTGCTCATCTACAAGCCAATCACATTTTAAAGAAAAATAGCCAAACATACAAGTCAGCAATAACTCCAAAATGAAGCAAAATATTGGGGTAAAATGAAACAACTCAGTTGTGCCAAAAAAAAAAAAAAAAAAAAAAAAAAGAAAAAAGGAAGCAGCAACTTTTCTGTTTAGGGTGAACACTCTTTACTTCAAGATTTCTGAGTTGGCCAGCCACACCACATGTCTGTATTTCCCACACCTACCCCCTAACACATTGGAGGGAGGCTGAACGTGTCTACTTAAAGCATCAAAGTGAAGGGCTCCGAATTGTCCTTGTGACAGGTAACCAGCTTTCACCATTTAAGGAGCGTAGACCCAGCCCTCTGCATTGCCCTTAAAGTAACTTTAAAAAGGTGCAGAGCCCAGAGCAGCTACTGCCTTTCAATGGTGAAATAACTATTTTTGTGGTGAGCTCAGTAACACAAGGGAAAGCTGCCCAGTGTGTGAAAAGATCCAGGACACCATTTTTCAGTTTGTTTTTCCCATCAGTATGTAATGCTATCCAGCTCACACACAGCTGAACTAGAGCATTCCTTCCAGGAGGATATCCAGGTTCAAGGTGAAGCATCCAAGCTAGAATGAATTTCCCCCTTGCCTTGGTCAGCTGCTCCACTGGGTAATTATCGTGTTGCTCCACAGTTGTCTTATTTCCAACCTAACTTCAACATCCATCCACTGGATCTTCTTATATCCGTTACACATCAGAAATCTTCTCCTGGTACAGGAAATTATCTACCATGGTCACACTGCCTTCAGACTTTCTTTACAGCAAGCCAGACAGACTGAGCTATTTAAGCCTGCCTCTCATTCCAGATCTTGGCTCACCACATTACAGCTGAGATATCCTCAAATATGTATCCAAGAAGAGAACAAAAGCCATCATGCCATTTGTAGGGTCATAAACTTTGTGCTTTGCCAACCGAAATTGCCCCAGATGCAAATGCTGACCTGCTAGAAATTGGGTGTGTCGGAAGGAAATCACAGGCTCCAGAACTCCTCAAAGGCTTTCACGAGCAGCCAGTTGCGAATGTTTCCTGATGTCAATTATCCATCAGCTCACAAATATCTGGCAATCTCGCCTCAGTTAGTGAACTTCAAAGTCTGCTCTTTGCCACGGCACTGTGCAGTGTCCGTGAGAGCTGTGTATGCTGCCTGAGATGGTTTCACTCACAGTGGCACCTGTCCATGGGGAAGGAGACAATTCTCCAAACAAATGGCTCATTCTTCCAGCACTTGTGTGGGAGAAGTCCAAGCAACGGTTTTCATCAACAAAACTCTCTCTGGGTACCTCTGACAGCCAGAGCTTCCAGTCAAGGCATGCCGAGGTGAGAGTCCAAGGAATGCCATTCCTTCTTGGAGCCAATTCATCCCCTGTCAAATCACCATCCAAAGAAAACACATTAAAATCAATGCCCTTAAAAATGACAAGCTCTGAAAAAACGCACTCTGCAAACAGAGATGGTCAAACCAAAGCTGTTCAGGAGGCAACCTCCAGCTGCCAGGCTGCCTGTCACAACATTCACCCCTGGTTTTTCCCCAGTGAAATACTGCTCACCTTGCTGGAGCCAGCAGACTGCTGCTCATTTGCTCAGGCAGCACTACAGAAGCGTGGAGCAGGCTGCACCTCGCCGTATTTGTTCAGTCCAGAGAAAGGCAAATCTGCCTATTGACTCACACAGTCACTCTGCAGAAAGAACATCCCGATGCAGCAGGGGCTCGATGTTTCCCCCCGGGCTGTGCTGGTGGCCTCCCGCACCATGCTTTTTGCTGTCTCAGCAGCAGCTGTAATTATGAAGCCCAAGAAGCAGAGAAACAAGGAGTTGAATGATTTTCTGAGTGAATTTAGGGATTCTGATAACAAAGACAGAAAAGCACTGCAGCCAGGAAAGGCATAGGGGAACACTGTAGTTTCTCATCTAGTTTGACCAAGGCAACCCAGCAGGAACCTGCTGAATCAGCCCTGACACCGTGCACAGCAGAAGCAGTGAGGAGTCATCCTCTGCAGAGCTCCAGGGGACCCCTGGGACCCCATCCAGCTCTGCTGACACCCCTAACATAGAGAAACCCTCCAGCCAAGTCCTGACCTTCATCTGCACAGACTGCAAACTACAGTGAACCACGGATTAGATACATGACAGGAGCAGCAGGGATAACTACTGATGTAAGTGAAGAGACAGGGCAGCCGTTAGAAGAAACCGTTAAGGAAAATGGTGGATTATCCACCACATGGTCTCTTCAGACCAAGAGTCAAAGAGATGTTTTAGCCAGAAATGAGTTAGTGGGCTCAGTGGTGAGGTTAATGGACAAAATTTTACAGTCTGATATTCAGCAGGTCAGATAGGCTTTAGATGTTTCCAGCACTCATATGCCCATATCTCTGAACAAATGGATGAGGGAATAATAAAGAGCCTCTTCAAGGCCACTCTGCTCATAAGTTCAATTATGGGGAAGTCGAGGAAAGTTTATAAAACAGTAGCATTTTCTCCTGTGCTTGACAGGGAAGGAAGCCAGCACTGATCTCTATATTCCAAACCTTATATATCACAATTCAGCGCTTTCTAGATCAGGTTACCAGACCTTCCAGTCTCATTCATACCACTGCAAAGAACAAAACTGTCCATCAAGCACATCTTCACTCGGGAGCAATGGCTTGTGCTCAGGCTGTCCTCAAATGGCCTGTGCTATCCTCAGAGGTTCCAGCATGACCGAAGGAAATACTGGCACTGGAGAGGCATTATGTTGGTGTTAGCAAATATCTGCTGCTGGAGCCAACAAAGTCCTCTGGGGGCCACGCTCTGGGCAGCAGCAGCCGCTTCACCTGCTCTCTTTGAGCTCACTCGATCGCCAGCAGCAGGACAGTTTCTGCAGAATAACTGAAAGCACATGATGCCGCAGCTGGTGACTTGCGAAGAATCAACATCTTCCTACACCATTGTCTGGGCACTGAGAGCTCCTGTTTCTGCAGCATTTCTCCAGTGCCCCTGAAGTAATTAGCAATAGCTCTTACCACTGTCCTCTAATGGAAGATGGCCTCATTAATTACATTACACTGAGTCAGCTTAGCATGCTCAGAGATAATAAAAACACTGTTAGCCCTTCTTCCAAAATAAGCACCAAACTCACATTTTACAGACGCTTACACAAAGATCCCACAATAAAAAATATACACCTTGTGTTTAAGTATTTTCCATCATGCCTTAGACTATGTGAATCTCTAATTATTTCCTACAAGAACCAGTTCACCCACTTATGCATTGCCTGCACCAGACAAAACACTGTGTGGTGTATTTTAGGGTATCCAGCAGCAATGGCAAAACGGATCTCGTTAAGAGGATGGAACGACCCTGCTCAGACTTGAACAAAGCCTTGGTATTAATACATACCTGCACCACCTTAAAGCATCCAGAGGCCTTAACAGTATTACCATATTTTACAGTATGACCTCTCCTGCCCCCACACAAGGTCACTGGTACAATACTCACTTCATGGAGAAACCTCCTCTGCTGGCTCATCAACTTCATCTAAATTAATGTGGTTGTTAATATCAACCAATCTACATATTGTTCGTGATGTTAATGCCTTTCACTTACGAACCCCTCTGTTTTCTGCTATATAACTACATTTATACCCTAAACATGCAAGTGAGCCTGCTTAAGGACTTCACAGTATACACTGTGCTTAACATAGTATATCCACAGGCCCATGTTTGTCCTCTCTGACCTTAAAGGTATGAAAGAACATAATTAGGAGAGCTATCCCTATGGTTATTAGAGGAAGGCAGACAGGTTGAATCACCTTCCAGAGGCATCTCTTTTACTTGGCTGATTTTTTAGGGAGCCTACACTAACTAGGGTTGGGAACCTTCCCATGGTAACTACTACATGGTAAGAAAGAGGCCATAACATCTTTAAGGGACTAAAAATGGTATATTTGGGAAAAGAAAAATTGTTTCTACTTAGCATTTGGAAGATGTTTTGAAATGTTTAAATTTTTCCTTCCTAAGGACATTTGTTTCAAAAAATCATCAGTATTTAATTTTTAAAGAGGGATTTAAATGGTTTCAGAGCATGCAGCTGAAGCAAAATGAATCAAACTAAACATTTAGGGTATTCTATTTATTTTGCCAAATAATCTTCCTCTTAGTGTGATCAGAAAGAAATTAAGAAACATTCTTAGTTTAGCAACCAAAAGTAAAAAAATCAATTATTCAGAGTTCTAGTTCTGAGCTCTTCTGAAAAATCTACTTTTTGATATGCTTGAGATCATTTAAAGATATTAAGAAATATAGCTATGTGCACCAAATTAAAGAGAGCATCAAAATCTTAGATGCAAAATAAAGGCTTAAAAACAAATCTCCATGAAAATCAATTAAAACATTTGACAATTATTTATATTTCCAATAAAACAGGTGATTTTTCAATTAAAATGGAGATACAATCTTTCTTTAAAGTAATGAAAATGCAAACACTCAGTACTAGATAAATTAGGCTGGGAAACCACATATATACAGAAAACAGGTCATGTTGCACTGAGTGAAAGGGGGAGGGAAAGGTGGAAAATTAAAGGGAAAAGGCAAATTGAACTCAAGTTCTTATTTCTCAACAGTGTCCTCTTAAAAAACCCACCCTTTAAGTTTTCTCTCCAAACACTGAAGCAACAAGGAAAAGGGCACTGGGATCTGACCTCACTTAAATAATACATTGCCAGTTTTTCCTTTGGAGGGAAAAACATTTTGTAAGAGGAAAGACAAATAATCCCAATTAGATTAATAACTTTGTTAACAGAAAGCGCTGAAAAAAGGAAGTGCCACAAATCAGGACAGACCCTCTGGTTTTATTTTAGCACCTTTTCTTTTTTTAATGCATAAAATAATATTTGGAATACCACTGGGTGTTAGGGAAAACAGAGCCTACCCCGAGCTGCCAGGAGGAGCTCAGCCTCGCTGGGCAGCTGAAGAAAGAAGCACTGGAGATGCAGAGACACAGTGGGGAAAAAACCCACTCTCCTCCTTTCGTTCTTGTTTTCACTCCTGTCTCAGAGGTCACCAGTTTATTTAATTAACCAAGTGATGTCTCCCAGGACCGTGAGGCTGATCCTGCTCTTGGTTATCCCACAGGAGAAGAGTTTCAATGACACTTCTGCGGTGTTGAAACCATGGTGTGTTGGTCCAAGTCCTGGGTCTCTCACGGGGATGGGACCAAGTTTAAGTATATCATCAACGTTTCAGGTAACCTGGATTGGAGGAGCAAAAATATTAGGGAGGGAAAAATACAGGTCAAAAATCGGCACTGCTGTCAGATGTGTTAGAGATTCCTAACACAGGGATCAGTCTTTTGGTCACAGATGCCAGAACCCCCATCCACACACAATTTCTCCATGTGAATAGGGCACATTATTGCTCTATACCCTGCAAGATCAATCCAGCAATGATCTGAATGAAGCAACAGTCAAGACTTCCCTTGAGTGTCTACAACATTCAAAATTCCAGCTACACATGAGGAGCTGGACTGTTCTTCAGCAGCAGATTCATTCCCAGAGAGGGCTTTTGCCCCCAGCAAAGTCCATCCTAAAATATGCCAGAAGCAAGAGCAAGAGGAGAATCAAACTCTTCAAGTTCAAGGAAAAATATTTAGCCCCTGACATGAAACAGTTATTCCCTCTGAATCAGGCACAAAACTCCAAGGAACAAAGCTACACCCTGGCCCCAGAAGAGACTGAGATCTTGCCCTGAGATGGAGGCTGGACATCCTTTGTGCCAACATCCCCCTTTCCCTAATCTTCTCATTCATTTTGTAGACTCACTCATCTCATGCTTTGAAAACAAAAAATCCCCAAACAACCAAAATACAGAAATGAATTCTTACTAAAATTCTTTTCATGATTGCTGTGTAAATAATAATCCAGTAAAATGAGTGATACAAATCTCTTTTAATGACTCAGTCACCAGATTTCTGTCCTTGCCTTTCAAGACCTCAGCATCAGTAGTGCAGCGTTTCGTCTTCTACACATCAATTGATACTTAAATAATGCATAAAACTGTCTTATTAAATGCATGTTGAATATTTATTTGGAAGCTCATCACAAGTTGAAAGATAACCTTCATTTTCAATTCCCTTTGGGATAATCAGCTAATTGGGTATCAGCAGAAGCTCAGCCTCTTCAGCCTGCTGCTAGTCAGCATTAGGGCCCCTTCTAACAATGCCTTCAACATGCACCAAGATGCTCAGGGCCTCGTGCTGCTTTGTCCAACCCAAGCTAATCCACAAGATGGGCATAAAAGGGAAGATAATAAATGTGGTCACAGTCACCCACTTCTTCTTTAGTCTCGTTTGTACTTCTGGATTTGGGCCAGACACAGGCAGGAAAGACCCAACTACTTCCTTGACATAACTGCTTAAACTAAGTCCTGGCAGCTGTGGCTTTCACATAAGCTTAAGAGCTATATGGGACCTCCTGGCCTAAGTGCAGCAAGATCTCAGGCTTGCTTGTTCCTAATGGACCTTGCATTAAAGCATCTTGCGATAAATTCAGTTCTCTGAATTACGGGGTCTGTGATACAGCCTGGACCACATCTGACTCCGACTGACAGAGTTGTTTCCTGTTCATCATAATCAGGTAGTTGTTACCGAAGTCAGATAAGTAATCCCACTGCAAAGGCAGAAACCAACTCTACTTTCTGTTGAAGAACCCTCTTTCCTCTTTTAAGAGCACACTGGCTCAGTTTTGGAGGGCTGCTCCAGACCCCTAGAATGTAACTGGAAAGCTGTTGGTAAATTGCCATTTATTCTGCACTGCTGACTATTTTCTCTTATTTTCTTTGTAAAGAAACACAACTGCATCAACGAATTAGGGAGAGGGAGGTATATTACATGAACCTTGTAAAAAAAATATGAAGGACAGTTCAAATGAGGGGCCGGCCCAGACACACCTCATTTCTGCGAGCATTCCATTAAAAGCCCACTGACAGCACAGGAGCCACCAAACCCTTTCACAGATGGGCAGTTGCCAGTGTCTGACATGTTCTGCAGTACAAGACCTGACAAACCAGCACATGGAAGGAATTTACCCGTGCCCAGAGCTCGTCGAGTCTTTGGCAGCTGCTGCAAATAGCTGCGCAGGGAGCAAACAGAAGCACTTGTGTGTAATAGTGTCTTCCAGGCTTGTCAAATTCACTTCAAGAGGAAATTCAGTCAAACACTTGTATGGCAAACGCCTACTAATTTTCACACACTTGATTATTGCAGGCTAATGTTGTTTCCCTCCTTCTCCTCCCAACACTATTCACACAGAAGAATGCCCCACCACCACACGGCAAGACATCCCATGGGATACAGGAATCGTGCTGCTTAGCATGAACCACTTCTACCTTTGTGCTCAGAAAATATTTTCAATCACATCCCTTTTCTCCCCAAACACATGCATGAGTTTCAGCTGGAATCTTCTTACCTGGGATCAGCAAGGAAATGCAGAAAATGCTCCAGAACCTCCTAATAAGTATAACCTCAGATTTTCACCAGGTACAGGTTTCCTCCTGTGCAGAAAGCAATAGCATGTGTGAAAATCCTAGTGCACATTCCCCAGGCTTACCAAGTTGTAAAGCACAGCATGGATTTTCTATGAATCTAAAGTAAAGTGACAAACTAGTTTGTGATTTAAAACTATTTGACAAACAGGTCCTGTAGGAAAGATCTAATCTGTGGCATTTTTGTCCAAATTAAGTCTAATAATGTTAAATAAGAGGCTTTACACACTTCTGGAATGAGACCTGAGCAGCGTTCAGAGAGCAGCCAAGAACTCAGCCTGCCTCGAAATCAAACTTCATGGTATGATGTCTGGAGGAGAAAATCAACACACAGGGTAACTGACCACAGACACAGATACCTTAGGAGGAGAGGAATCACACAGAGGGCTGGTCTCCACCCACAGGGAGCTGGGGCCCATTTGTTCACCTGGTGGCCTCTATGTTTAGGCAGAAGAGCCTGGCCCTGATGAATAAGAAAAGATCCTTTCAGCCTCATCAGGTAACTCTGACTCCACTCTCCACATATCATTTCACAGCAGGTTTCCCCCATGCCAAATTTCAGTTGGCAGTTTCTTTTGCCAATCCACACATGACCAGCAGAGACAGGGTTGCCCAGTGATGAGGTGAAGGGTCCATGCGTGTCTGGCCACTGGGATCCAAACCAGAGTGACTCACAAGAAGGGAGAGGAGCCGCCTCTCCCTGCACAGCAGCTCTTCCCTGCTCCTAGCCACAAGGACACAGGCATCCAGCGAGATGGATAAACCGTTCCACGGAGCCAGAGATGTCTTCTTGTCTTTCCACATGAATGAATAAAGGCTCTCACTGGAACTTTAAATATTTTCACAATCAATCATCTATATATTAATACCTGACACATGTGGGTGACAAACCAACTATGTTTTTTCTGAGAATGCTGACACTGAGATCTGGCTGTCTCCCATGAAAAAGCGATGAAGAGACACAAGTGTCTCCAAGGTGCATCCGATACCTGAGTAGGCTCCTCATCATGTTAATCAGGTCTCTCTGCCGCATCCACCGCCAGGAAAGCACAGGTTCTCCGGCCTTGCTGGGACTCGGACTGGAAACACTGCACACAAAGAAGTCCTTAGTTTCCAGATGGTTTTAATTTTCTGTATAGTTGTAAAAACTAAAATGACTCTTTAATACTCAGAATAGTTAGTGATACTGGATTTGGGGGTGGGGGGTGGGGGGGGTGTATGTACTTGCCAAACTGCATGGTTGATCTTTCACTGGTGTTTTATACATGCAGATAGAGAATTTTAAAATGTGGCAATTGTTATTTTGTGGGATAACTCATTCCTCTAACTAATTTTGCATGAAACTGGCCTGAGTTTTCTTCCCCCCTTCTATTCATTTTGTTTTGTTCAAGTCTTCCCCATCTTCTCTTTCTTCTTGAAAAAAATGAGGGAAAAGGAGAAATGAAAAACTCACTCTTCCCCATATTTTAATTTTTTTTCAAACTGCTCTGTCAATCTATAACCAACCTTTTCTCCAGGTAGGCCCCAGGTAGCTTTTGATATGTTTTAAAAACTCGACCTCTATAGTAAGGTTCCTAATTCCATACTTCCAGTACCAAAACTGTGAGCTGGTTTTAAAAAACACTGAGCGTGCAGCAACTCCCAATAAATTTCACACCCCTGAAAAAGTCCTGTTGTTGGGAACTTTTTGATCCTTTCATTTGCAGGTTGCCTTCATTACTTCCTTCCCTTGGGTCACGAAAAAACTGCTAGTGACATCTTCCATTTACCAGGCAGCGGTATAAACTCAGAGTAACTTCACTAAACTTAACGTGCTTAATGTAGATACTCTGGATTTGCGTTGCTGCAAATGAGATCAGAATTTGTCCCAGCCACAGGAGCCAGAAGGAGGTCAAATGCTTTACATACATTACCTTCTCTTCAGCATGCTAATGATGTGCAATTTTCAAAAGCTTTTCCCCAGACACTGCAGTTCCAGGAACGGCACTAAAAGCACTGAAAGGATACAAGGCAGACTTCACCACCAGAGCAGGCATACGACCAGCAAAGCTACCAGCCTGACTGCAGCAAACCTTGTTTTTGTGAGCTGGGAGAGGAAAAGGTTTGGCAGCACCCAAAAGATATCAACAAACTCACCCTTGCTGATACTGCTAAGATAGAATGGTTTGGGTTGGAAGGGACCTTTAAAGCTCATCTAGTCCCACCCCACTGCCATGAGCAGGGACATCCTCAAGTAGATCAGGTTGCTCAGAGCCCCATCCAGCCTGACCTTGAATGTTTACAGGGATGAGGCATCTACCACCTCTCAGGGCTATCCCACTTACAGACCTCTCCCCACTCCCAGAAAAATCAGTGCTGGCCACTCCAGCAGTCAGAAGCCACACTGGCCATGAGGACCTTCCTCCACCAGCCAAGGACCTGGGCATGGCAAGAGGTCTGTGAGGGCAGACAGACACTCGTGGGACACACTCCGGTCCCCTCCCCAGGGCACCACCACCCCGAGGCATGGGGACACAGCCCGCTCAGCAGCCTTAAATCACAACTGCTCCTCTGGCTTCTGCTTTGCTTAAAGTGGACAAATGCCTCGCCTGATTTTCGGTTCAGCCATGTCCTGCCATCTGTTCATGGTTTTCCTGAGGTTACCTGTGCAGTTCGAGCGTCTGAACGTGGGTTGAAGCACATGTGGTTTTAAGCTGGATGTTAATTAGAAACATTTAGTGCGTCAAACCTATGATTAATGCACAGAGTTTCAACTGAAACGAACCAGAGTCCCACAGATCCGCTCTCCTTCCATACTGCAAGACTTTGTGGGGGAAAGAGCTTTTTTAAAGCAAAACAAGGTCAGAGGCTTGGCCAGTGTAAAGCAACCTATTTATATTGGAGGCTATGAAGGCTATTTGCTCCATCTTAAAATGTGGCCTGAAAACTGTAGACTACATTAAAAATAATATGAAAAAATGTCACAGTACTACCCTGCTTTGCTTTCTTATTAACAAACATAGCTGCAAGGCATGACTAAGGGTGCTCATCATTCCCATTGTAATTATGAGGTATTATTTGTAATACCATTTTAAATTTGCCTCTCAGTAATCCACTGAAGAAAATCTGATTTCAGTTCACTTCATTATTATGTTATTGGTGTCAGAATAATACAGAACTGCTTTGTTTTGACCAGTGGAACAGACCCAGTTTTCATGGGGCAAAAAGGATTGCAATGACTGAAAAAAAAAAAAAAGAGTAAGAAACAAAGAAGTATTCTGGAATTCATCAGGTCCAATACTAACTTAATGGTTTTCTTTTTTTAAAAAAAGCACAGACCATTCAGCAGATGAAAGCTGCCTCCCACCTCCACTATTCTGAACTTCCACGACTTCACCAAACTGTGCAAGAAGCTTCTTCAGGTCAATTTTGGGACAGCTTTGCTTTGGCAGTGAATCACGATGCTCCAGATCTCAGAGGTCCAAACCAAATATGTTTTGAATTTTGCCATATCTGGCTTATTACATTCCTGATAAGGAGTCCCAAGATACTGTCAGTGAACTATGGAGTGTTTCTCAGGAGCAGCATAAACATCCGATAGCACATCCTTTACCCAGGCTATTCACCTCTTACCACTGAATACTCAACAATATTCTGATAAGGTATCTGAAAAAAATAGTGGGTGACCATGAAAAGAAAGGCAATCATATCTACATTTAGCCAAGGCAGCAACTTAAATTCTGGCCTGTTATAATCATAAATTTTCTTCATATTCTTTAAAGCTTGTTATTTTGCTGTAATTGCCTATGAATATTTGCAATACACTATCAAGTCTTAAAACTGCTGAATACTTCTCAACCTCACTTGCTTAAACAACTTTGCCAAACTTTAATGATTTGAGATTAGATTTTACAGGTGAACAATCTGCCTCCAGCAATAATTTCTCTTTAATTTGTATCTAAAATGACCTGCCCCTTTCTGGGATGAGGACAGAAGCAAAAATAACATTCTTCAGCTAAGTTAAAGAGTTCAAGCAACTTTTTCCTTGAAAATTCCTCACTGCCTTTTCCACCTTGGAGCAGGCATTTTATTTGGGATCTATGTCCCTGCGGTTGTCCTTGAGAAAATGTGGGCAATTTACAAGCTTTTGTAAAGTCAGAGTTTGCACAAGCTCAGAAAAACCTACATTTGCAGAAACCTCAACCCATCCGGGGCATGTTCCAGCCTGGAGCACAGGAATGGAGTTGGCCTTCCCCCAGCTGCAGCTCCAGTGACTGCTGCAGACCAGAACAGGTCGGGGGACTGGTGGAGGGTAGACAGGGTCTCCTGTTATGAATCATTTGGCCTTAACTCACTGTCTCTCAGTAGAGCATAAAAGAATCTCTGTACTGTGCTACCACAAGACTGCTGGTCGGGAAACATTAGAGAGGTTTCTGTGAATAGGTCCTACTCTGAATGGCACCACGATCAGGTAAGAGCAAAGTCAATATTGCACATCACAGTTTGGACACGTGGAGGAAAGGTGTTTAGTCCCTATGAATAAACTCGTATCAAAATAATCCTCCTTGCTGATGCTAATGGGAAAACCCAGGACATGATCTCTGTTGAAGTGGAACAAGGATCCACAGTGTGGAGCTTCCAGACTCAGCAGACAGAAGCTCTACAGAAGTGGTTCGTGATGTCCCTCTTTTGAGTGACCCACCGGAATTGTTCAGAGGGGGGACCAACAGCTTCAGGCCAGGAAAGGCCAGGCACTTCCCAAAAGTCAGCCCCCCTGACTGTATCAGGGGTTTGGCACTAAAAAAATCCAAGTGCCTGGCTCAGAAACATAAGTTCAGCATAGCCAAAAAAGAACAGACTGACCCATTAAATCTTCTACAAACAGTGCTACAAGAACCTTATACTCTCTGAACCTGCAGCAACCTTAAGCAAGCATTCAATTCAGGCTGGTTTCCAGAAGCTGGCAAAATTGGGACCCTCTTTTCTGCTTTAACCTGGCTTCTTTCCTCCAACTGTGCACACACTTTAAAGGACTTCTCATGGTATCCGAGACTATGGTCACTAAAAATAAAGCAGACAACAGGAGCTAATGGACTGCAAATGCAAGCCGTTTCTAGGTTGCAAGTGAAGGTACTGAAGTGTTTCTCCTTTCTTAGTCTGCCTTCTTTCTGCTTTTTCCTTCCCCAGTTCCCTCTTTTCTTAACCCAAATCCCTTAATCTCAGTGTTGATAACTGTAATCACTCCAGTATGTAGCCATCCGAGCAGCTAACATGCTCAGAAATGTCCATCTTAGGCCAGTTCTTCTCATGGTGAGGAAGAATAAATATGAAAAGCACATGAACTCCTCCATAATTTTAATTTAAACCAAATATGGAGTCAAGTGAGGATTAATCACATTTCCACTGAAGGCTGGGTTTTGTTGGGGATTTCTGAATCCATATTGTTCTTTAATCAAAGGAGGAAAACGATGATGGGGGGCGGTTGGAAGAGCTGATGGAGATAGGCTGGATTTTGTCCAATCTCTACTGTTCCGACCTACAACCAGAATTGTGGTTAATATATCAGAGAGATGATTCCCTACTTTGGCTGCTGTTTTTTTGACAAAATACCCAAGGATCATAGGAGGTCAGCACAGAAATACACTGCACAGCAAGTGCCTCTTCCATGGAGAAATGGCACACAAAGAGGCAGGCTGACTCGCTGCAGGGCAGAACGCAACAGTGAGAACAGTGGCTGTGGTGTGTGAACTTCTTCGCCAGTGCCGAAGAAACCTATTTTACAAGCAGCAGAGTGATGACGGGCCTTGGGGAGAGATGATGAGGTCATTAATGCTTGCAGTGGGTCAATACTTCAAAGTCTTCGAGGGGCAAGTCGGGATGGGAATTAGAAAGCAGTGACTGCAATCTGAATTTGTACTACTTTACACATCAGGTACACAGAACGTTGGCTTCCCAGTGAGGTACCCAACTAGAAATTATAATTTTTAATTAAAACACAAATTTCTCTAACAAGACAACCCACTCATTAAAGAGGCCAGGATGCTTTAAACACTGCAAATGTTCAGGGCTGGCTCCCTTGGCCTGTCTCCACAGTGGTGGCTCTTAGTCC